CTAAAGGACAGTAAACACATGTCCTGCACTGAGCTGCACCTCCAACCTCTAGCCATCCTTTCTTTTTTATTTTTATTTTTTGGTACTGGGAATTGAACTCAGGGGCACTTGACCACTGAGCTACATCCCCAGCCCTATTTTATATTTTATTTACAGACAGGGTCTCACTGAGTTGCTTAGTGCCACGCTTTTGCTGAGGCTGGCTTTGAACTCGAAATCTTTCTGCCTCAGCCTCCCAATCTACTGGGATCCATATTTTCTTAATGAATTGTAGATATCAATGTATTGTTCCCTAAATATTTCAATATGCATGTCCTTAATTAAAATTTGATATTTGTCTACAGTTCTTTTTCTTTCAAGATAAAGTTCAGAAACAATAAGATCTGAATATCCTAAGTATACATATAAACCTTTATGAAGATAGGGAACATCACCATCACTCCAGAACATTTCTTCATGCTTCTTCTCAATTGGCCGACTCCTATCCTCTTCTGGGCATCTAGTGTCTGATTTTTTTTAATAGGTTTGTTTTGCCTTTTCTAGAAGTTTAAGTAAATGAGGTCATACAGTATGTGTTCTTTTGTGTAAGGCATCTTTCATACAGCATGTTTATAAGGTTCATTCACATTGTTCTGTGCTTCAGTAATTGTCCCTTTTAAAAGGCTGAATGGTATTTTTATTTTTTTAATCATCAGTGGACTTTTATTTAATTCATATATTTGTGTGTGGTGCTGAGAATCGAACCCAGTGCCTCATACATGCTAGGCAAGTGCTCTTCCACTGAGCCACAACCCCAGCCCTGAATGGTATTTTTATAAATGTATTACAGGGTTTTTTGTTTGTTTTAAAATCTATCTTTGCCAGGAATGGTGGCTCATGCCTCTAATCACAGCAACTTGGGAGGCATAGATATGAAAATCACAAGTTCAAGACCAGCCTCAGCAACTTAGTTAGGCCCTAAGCAACTTAGTGAGATGCTGTCTCAAAATAAAGTAGAGGATGTGGCTCAGTGGTAAAGCGCCTCTGGGTTCAATCCCCAGTACCCTCCCCCACCCCCCAAAAATCTATCCTTGTTGGGCATGGTGGCCCATGCCTGCAGTCCTAGCAATTTGGAAGGCTGAGGCAAGACGGTTGCAATTTGAGGATAGCTTGGGATATTTAGTGAGACTGTCTCAAAATTTAAAAATTTTAGGAAGAGGGTTGGGGATGTAGCTCCGTGGTAGAGCACCTCTGGGTTCAGACTCCAGTGTTGCAAACAAACAAGCAAACAAAAACTATTCTATTACTAGACAAGAGCTGTTTCTAAAATGTGGCTGTTATGAATAATGCTGTTATGAACACATTTATAGAAATCTTCATGTGTTTTCATTTTTCTTGGGTAAAAACCTACAGGCAGAATTGCTGGATCACAGGGTAGGCGTATTTTTACTTTCATAAGAAACCACTATCCTTTACCATCATGGTTGTACATTTTACACTTCACCAGCAGTGTATGAGAGCTTGGATTGCCCTATATCCTGACCAGCATTCAATGTTGTTGTCTGTTATTCTACCAATGGATATAGAGTGGTAATTCATTTGATTTTTTTTGTACTTGAGATTGAATCCAGGGATGCTCTACAACTGAGCTACATCCCCATCCTCTTTTTCTTATTTTGAGATAGGGTCTCACTAAGTTACTGAGGCTGGCCTTGAACTTGTGATCCTTCTACCTTGGTCTCCTGAGTGACTGGGATTACGGGCATGCCCCACTGCACCTAATTTCATTGTATTTATTCTTTAATTACCTGAAACACTTTATAGTAGACTTAAGCATTTATTTGTTCATGATACATATAAATGCATTGTGTATGTGTGTATTCAAATTTGTTATACTTCTCAAAAATCTTTCTTATACCTAGATAAGGCAGTCATGGTGGCATCTGGGTACTAAGTGTTTTGTTTTAATTCTTTTTTTTTTAATATTTATTTTTTAGGTATAGATGGACACAACACAATGCCTTTATTTTTATGTGGTGCTGAGAATTGAATCCGGGTCCCGCCTGTGCTAGGCGAGCGCTCTACCGCTGAGCCACAATCCCAGCCCTTGTTTTAATTCTTAGTAACTTCCTCCAACTTTTTTTATATTTCAAATTTACAAAAGAATTGACATCACCTGTTTATTCTCCACCTAACCCCCCATACAAACTTAAAAATTGCATTTTAAAGAGGATAAAATTATGACTCATACAGATGTAAAATGAACTATGTTAAAGATTTTTATTTAACCCATTAATTAATAAAGGAATCAGTAAGGTATTATAACTATTTGGAGAATTCAGAGTAATACTAGAGTTTTCAAATGAAGGTGCTGGCTCTGGGAATTCCAATGAATCAGATATGGCTACTCATCCCAAAGAAATCAAATAAAAAAGTAATGGTGAAAGGTGGGAAAGGAACTGTGTAGCTATACTGAAAAGACAAGGGGACCAGCTGCCCTGTCTTGGCGGGTACTAACATGAGCTTCAGGGTTAAACAGAGGAAGAATTGGGACAGGGCAAGAGGTATGCATAAGTAAGTAGTCTTGGTCAAACTGTGATCTGGTTGATAATTATCTCAGTTCTGGTCTTTGAAGGTGGCTCTAAGAAGTCTTATTGCTTGAGGGGGCAATCCTGTTCCCATCCTGAGATGATGGCTCCTGCTTAGGGGGGCAGCCTCAGTTCCTGTAATTAACTCTCATTGTGGAGGATAGTCTCACCATGGGGTGATCTGCCTGAAATGCTCTGCTGTTTCTAGAAGGTTTAGGGCAATTCCTGCAGTCCTCTAGGTACCACTCTGTGGTACAGACCAGGCTGTGGTAAAAGCTGGCAGCTGATGACCTTACTTATCTTGGTGTCTTCAGTCTTGAAGAGGGATGGTCACTTGAATGATGAACATGACTACTTGAGAGTTGAGCAAAAATCTGACCCAAAGTTTAACATGATAAAAGGGATACAAAATGAAGGCAGAGATGCCAAACTTTTTGTCCTGCTTTAAGTTACCTTTTGAACATCTACAGGCTCAAATGAAGAGTCAGTGCTTTTTACCAAAAACAGTCATTAACAGTTATAACACTGTTATAAAATACCATCCACTTAGAATCAGATAAGGAATGATAAAATGCAAATGGAGCAAAACTAGGCAGTATCTATAAGGCAATGATTAAGTGTATTTCACCTGCTGAAATTTGTGTGTCTATACATGGAAGCTATTTGCATTACTAAGTTTTCTACAAGTTAACTTCTCCATCTATAGAGTTGTGAAATAGTCTTGTCAAGGACAAAGGTGTTGGTAACCCGTGGATGTCCTAGCCAAGACACAATTTTTCCTTTGATACAGGTGTTTATGTTTATATGTGTGTATACATACATGTATACATATATAAATGTGTGTGTATATGTGTGTGTATATGTGTATATATATATATATATATGTATTTTTCCCCTGAATATTTGAAAGTGAAAGCATTCTCTAAACACATCATTCTTCTATATATGGATATTAACATTATACCTCAGAAAATAAAAATAATTTTATAATATCACCTAATATTCAGTTCATTTAGAAATTTTCCTAATTGTCCCAAGATTTTTAAATAGCTTATATTGTTTTGAACCAGATCCAATCAAAGTTCCTTTATTTCAGGCTATTTTTGAATATCAGAGAGCTAATCTCTGTGACTAAGTCTTCAGTGACTGATCCTGTTGGCCCTTCTTGGAATGTTTTCATGTAGCAGAGTTTCTGAAGCATATCGGATGCTTTAGGTTTCTCTCAGGAGAGCCATATCACTTTCATTAACATGGTTATGGACTGTGTGCCCTGTGCCCGAGGGAAATGAGTCTGTAGGCCTTTTGCTGTTTATGCAAAAGAAAATTATGTGTTGCTATGGGGCTGTTAAACAACCTTTGCATTGTAGAGGCTGGTAACTGCCTTGCCTATGGGCGTTTTTATGCAGAAGGAAGAGATTAAACTGACTATTCTCTCAGTTCTTATGGGATGGAAAGGGAGCATGAAGCTTCAAGATAAAAGGAGAGGCCCGGGAAAGTGGGCATTATTTTAGCATCCCTGTATTGAAGTTGATTATTACTTTTTTTTTCTGAAGTAAGATTTGAGAGTTGTGACACGTTCACAGTTCTTCATGACTCAGGTAACTTTTTAAAAAATAGGTAGCCTCAGTTTCCTGATATTTTTTCCTTTCTTCTTTTCTTCCTTTTTTTTTTCCTTTTGCAGTGCTGAGGTTGAACTGAAGGCCTCATGCATTCCAGATAAACTGTCTACCACTGATGTGCATTTCCAGCCAAGTTCCACTATATTTTCGGGAAGGTGTTACTGGGGATTGAATTCAGGGGCAGTTGACATGATCCACATCCCCAGCCCTATTTTGTATTTTTATGTAGAGACAGGGTCACACTGAGTTGCTTAGTGCCTCACTTTTGCTGAGGCTGGCTTTGACCTCATGATGTACCTGTCTCAGCCTCCTGAGCTGCTGGGATTACAGGTGTTCACCACCAAGCCCAGCCCCTATTTTAAAGTGAGGATTTTAATAAAAATTTAAAAGGAATTGAATTATATATCTTGTGTATAGATGTTATTCAGTTATGAATTCTTCCCTTAATTCTGTCCCAAAGGCTAAATTTCTCATTCTGCTAGTGTGTTGGAGGTCCCCAGTGCCATTTCTAGGTTCACTGATTTACTGCAAGAACTTAGAGAACTCAGTATGTAGTTTTACTTATCATTATGATGTATTATAGCAACAGGATACAAAGTAAAATCAACAAAGGGAAGAGACTCTTTTAGGTGAAGTCTAAAGGAAACAGGCACAAACTTCCATGGGTCCTCTCCCAGTGGAGTGAAGGGGCAGGAAAAAGTCCTTATCCTCTACCATCTTAGGCCATCTGGCTAGGGCTCTATAAATTAAAGTAGTGAAAAATTAATGAGATAAAAACAATCAGAAGTTTATTAACATGTACGTTACACAGATACACACAGCAACCAAAGGGGTGGGTAGAACTTAGGTGTATTAGTCAGCTTTGTCCCGACCGGCAGGACACATCAACAACATGGGCAGCGAACCTAGATGGGGAGGAATGAAGGGACAAGAGACATGAAGGATGACAGCAAGACAGGAATTCTGATCAAGCATGCAAACTTTTATTGTTCACACAGGGGTATTTATATGCTGGGGATGGGGAAGCTCTCTAATCAGCAGTTGCTGGATGTGGGTGGTAAAACTGCCAGCTCCAGGATGTCTGATCCTGATAACCGCAGGATGTTCCAGGGAGATAGGTAGCTGCAGGATGTCTCCCAGGGGGCTGTCAGGCTATTCTTTGAAGGAGAATTTCCTTCTAGCCCCTGACATTTCCGCCTTTCTTATATAAAATATTTGACCATACCTTACCGGCCATGTTTTTAGGGGGTGATAGAGGCTCTGTTCCTCTAGGAGGCCTTAGAATATCTCCTGATCCGCGTCTTCACTAGGAGATTTCGTGGTGGCCTTGGCATGTTTTTGGAGGAGACGGCTTTGAGGGGGAAGCATGCCAACCGCCATGCACCAGAGCGTGTCACTCAGAGGTCTTGGGTTTTGGGATCCGTCCTCCTGCAGTCCTTCCTGCACCCTCCGTTATTATGGCCTAACGTCCTCACTCCATGGGTGCTGTCCTCACTCCATGGGTGTGTCCTCCCCCAAGCAGAGGGGCCCATGGAGGAGCGAACCCTTATGGCAAGGGCAGAAGATGGTTGGTCAGAGCTGTTACTTATACTTTTATATAAGAAAGAGAGATCTGTGGGGATGTAAACTTAATAAATAAGCCTGTGAGAAGGGTAGAACATCCTTTTAAATGTTGGCAGCGCGGTCTTCCATCTCCAGATGGTGATAGTGGACCTATATGGGCTTAGAGGCCAAAATATTAATCTGTTCTTTAATAAATTGTACCAGCCTGTTTATAATGCAGGGTCCTCACACAGATTGTTGGCTGCATCTGAAAAAGAGGAAAATTTGTCCTCAGGGGGAGGGCCTCCGTCCCTGGGTTGAGGTAAGTCATTAACCTGTTTAACCAGGCGTTCTGGTAACCATCTTGGGGCTGCTTGCTCTTGGTCCAAAACACAAGCTGAGCCTCGTCCCCAGATGAGGACAGGATCTGGGCCTTTCCATTTATTTGTAAGGGGATTGCGCCACATAACAGGTGGGCGAACAGAATTGGACAAGGGATGCCAGTGTCTGTCTGTGGCCGAATGGCCTTCACTGTCTAGGGTAAGAAAATTAAGGGCAAATAATGCATGGTTAAGGCGATCCCTGGGAGTGGTAAATACAAGGGCAGAAGCCTTAAGGCGGGTTAGCCAAGTCTTTAAGGTTGGACACATCAACAATGCCTTGGCCCTGAGGGTTGTATGGAATTCCAGTAGTATGACAAATTTGTAAGGTAGCACAAAACTGTTTAAACTTGGCAGTGGTATATGCAGGACCATTATCTGTTTTAATATGTATTGGTTTACCCATTATGGAAAAGGCTGAAACAAGATGAGAAAGTAATGCCAGGGAAGACCTGAACACCTTGTAAGGTAGTAGAGGCTCTTCCAAGAATAAGGGCACACGTATGAGATGGAGGGGGACCCATAATTCCAGTGGGTATTATCTGGGGCCCTTGCATGGAGTCTAATATTGTATCGGTGGCGGCACAGAGGTCCAATCCTGCGTTGCCTGGGGTGGCTCGTTGGAGGGAGGCAATCGTGGAGAAGGATTTTGAGGTAGATTGGGAGTTTGGGAGGGAACAAACCTTATTGCCCCTGGGTTTGTCCTGGGGGAGGTCGGGGCCAGTCCCTGGAGTGGGAAGAAATAGGCTGACCAAGGGCATTTGTCTTAGATCTACACTCATTGGCCCAGTGACGACCTTTACCACATCTAGGGCAAAGGGTGGCTGGGGGCGGTTTAGCCCTGGTTTGAGGAGACGCTATCCCTAGGCTTTGTTTGCCTGTCGGACACTCGCGTGCAAAATGGCCAGGTTGTTTACAAGTAAAGCAAGTACATGAGCCAGGATTGCGAAAGGCCTTGGTAAAGGCGGCACGCACCTATGGTGAGACCCATGGCATGGGCTGCACCCACCCCCCGGCACAGAGTCTAATAAAGTCAGAAAGTTCTTCTTTATCCTTATGTGGTCGAAGAACATCCTGACATGCCGGGTTGGTGTTTTCAAAGGCAAGATATTTTACAAAGGTGCTTTCGCTTTCGCTTGGTCCAAGTAGGTGTTCCGGGGCTAGGTTAAGCTGGGCAACAAAGTCGCTATAAGGCTTGTCAGGCCCTTGTCAAATTTTTGCTAGGGAAGTGGTAGCCGAGCCCTTTTGAGGGAGGCATCTCCAAGCATGTAAGCCAGCCGTCTGAATCTGCGCCAAAAGTCCAGCAGGGAAATGCGCCTGTTTAGGGTTAGTGTCAAAAGGCGCATTGCCCACTAGCTTAACATAAGTCCAGGATTTAGAGGAGGCCTTAGTTAAATTTTTTTGAGCAGTTTCCTGACAGTGCTCTTTGAAATCTGCATTCCATAACAGGAAGTCTCCGGCACTGAGGGTAGCTCAGGCTAAAAATTTCCAATCATTAGGAGTAAGCCATTGTGCACTGTGGCTTTCTAATAAAGCCAATGTGTAAGGTGCAGTGGGGCCATAGTGAGCACAAGCCTTTTTAAGTTTTTCAAGAAAACGCAGGCTTAATTTTTTGTAGACACTCTGGGTTCCTTCCTGCCTAGGGGTGAACTCTTCATCCTCTGAGTCCTGATCTTCCTCTTGCCATTTCCCCGCTTCCTCCTCTTGATCCTCCTCTGAGTCTTTGTCCTCAGCCTAGGCGGGCTTATCTGTCTGACTGGGAAGGCAAGAACAGGCCAAAGGCGCGGCTTAGCCTTTGTATTAGACTGCCTTGGGCCAGCTCGAGTTGACTCCGTGCCTAAGGCTAATGAGCGAAACTCAGAGTCAAGGGATCTTAATTCTTTTAAAAGTTGGATCTATTCCCGTCTATGTTGGAGAGACTCTCGCAAGGGAGCCAGGTTAGGCAGGGGAAGTGGGGAAAAAATATCTGAGGGGGTAGTTGGCCCCTGAAGGGCCGGAGCACAAAAGGCAGGAGGGATATAGGAGGGAGGTGGATGTGTAAGTCCTATAGGCTGTGGCAGGGTCCTGAGAGGTGGCGGGTCTTGGGTCTTCCGAATGGTAGCGAGCTGCTTCCTTCTCCAAGGTAGCCTCCTCCCCAGGGGTCAATGTGTCTCCGGGATTTAAAACTGGATAAAGGCGGTTGGTAACCCTTGGAGCCTTATTCATTAGGGTGGGATTTTGAGGGGGACCAGGCCAAGGGGGGACGAGAGGGATGGGAGGTCTTTTGCATAGCCTCTTCCCCAATCCTGACAAGTTTTAAAGGTACCATTGTCAAAGGGTGAACTTTTAAGAATTTCATTAATTAAGTTCCAGTAAGAAAAGGTGGGAACAGGCACCTTTTCTGGGCCAAAGGATTCATAATAATCTTTTAAACAGTCTCCTACTCTAAGCCATCTTTTACCATCAATGGTCCCTTCAAGGGGAAACCATGGACACAATTCTCCTATGTATGAAAAGAATAATTTTAAGTCCTTTTTCTTAACACGCGCCCCCCCGTGTCTTGAGGGCTCCTTGAGGCCTGACAAAAACAAATCATGTGATGAAACTGCTTGTCCCATGGTGGGTCACTCACCGTGAGTCATCCCCACTCTCCTCCTGGATCTGTCTCTCGGTCATGTCTGCCGAGGCGATCTCAAGCTCCGCTTGGCCAAGTCTTCCCGGAGGACGGCATTCCTTCTCAGTCAAAGGCTCGAGCACACAACGTTGGGCGCCAAATATCCCGACCGGCAGGACACATCAGACCGGCAGGACACATCAACGTGGGCAGCGAACCTAGATGGGGAGGAATGAAGGGACAAGAGACACGAAGGATGACAGCAAGACAGGAATTCTGATCAAGCTGCAAACTTTTATTGTTCACACAGGGGTATTTATATGCTGGGGATGGGGAAGCTCTCTAATCAGCAGTTGCTGGATGTGGGTGGTAAAACTGCCAGCTCCAGGATGTCTGATGATCCTGATAACTGCAGGATGTTCCAGGGAGATAGGTAGCTGCAGGATGTCTCCCAGGCAGGATGTTTCCCAGGGGGCTTTCAGGCTATTCTTTGAAGGAGAATTTCCTTCTAGCCCCTGACAAGCTTTTTATTTATGTGACAAAATACCCAAAGGAAACAACTTAAAGAAGGAAAGATGAATTTTGGCTCACAGTTCAGAGCCAATTTTGGTCATTTGGCTCTATTGTTTTGGGCCTTAGGTAAGGCAGAACATCATGGGGTACATTCTAGACACAGTTGTGCACACCTGTCTGTAACCCCAGTGGCTTAGGAGGCTGAGACAGGAAGATTGCAAGTTCAAAGCCAGTCTCAGCAACTTAGCAAGGCCCTAAGCAACTCAGTGAGAACCTGCCTCTAAATAGAAAATACTTTCAATAAACAAAGGAAGGGGCTAGGGATGTGGCTCAAGCGGTAGCGTGCTCACCTGGCATGCGTGCGGCCCGGGTTCGATCCTCAGCACCACATACAAACAAAGATGTTGTGTCCGCCGAAAACTAAAATAAATAAATAAATATTTAAAAAAAAAAAAAATAAAATAAAATAAACAAAGGAAAAGTGGTTTGGGCTTCTCTGTGGGAGAGGAAAGTTATAAAAAGAGCCAGAAAAAATATGGAAATGAGTTATTTTGTAAGGTTTGGCAAACAGATTTGTGTTAGTGCTCCTCCAATGATGAGTTAAGAGTCTACCTGTTCCTGCTAAGAAAAAAGGAGATATTTTCTATAAAATAAGTGTAAATTTCTTTTACAAAAGGAAACGCGTGCCCTGTTTGTCAGGCTTTTCCTACATCTGCTGGTTCTCAATGGCCATTAGCTCAAAATAATCTGGGTGCCAAAGAGGAATATTTTGGGATAACATATTCTGGCACCTTTTGGAAGTCACACAGGATGCTCTTAATTCCTCCAGAACTGACAGTGTAAATTTTCTAGGTTTGTTTATTTGTTTTGTAGTACTGGGGATTGAACCCAGGGCCTTATACATACTAGGCATGTGCTCTGCCTCTGAGCTGTATTCTCAGTCCTCTAGCATTGATTGCGATAATACTTGCAAAATGTTGTCTACTTCAGAAACTAATAATTAGAGATTTAGTATCTACACTTTTTATTGGGGGCTGGTCACATAGGCACCCTTTGCCTAGTCATCATTCAGACTCCCAGAAGGAAAGTTCTCTTTAGCATAAATGTGATGTTTATAGGTTTAGGCACTCTAACCCCTTCTTATCAGTTCTAGGAATGGCAGGAACCCTCTCAAAATGTAGGTTCCCTGACATCAGCCTGGGGTCCATCCTTCAAGCAGGACTTTCTAAGTATAGAAGTCTCAGGTCTTTCCCATTAACTCTGTTTCTTTTTATACACAATTATCTTTTCCCTTTTCCTTCTGTTATGAGAATTAGAACATTCAAAAAATGCCTGATCTTACTACTAACAAATTTACTCAGATTTTATATAATACCTGCAGGCTATATGAGGGAGAGGAGAGGCAAAAAGGATTTCCATATTTTGGGAATTGCTTTGATTTTTCTTATCCTCTGATAAGTACCTTTTTAAAAACCCAAGGCCTCATGCCTGCTAAGCATATGCTCTGCCACTAAGCTACCCCCAGCTCTGCTAAATATTATTTTTAAGGTTGTGTTCTCAAAACATACTATGTGCTCTGAGGTGATCTTTTTCTATCAAAAAATATACCAGTTTCAAGGTCTTGGGATGTGGCTTAGTGATAGATGCTAGCCTAGCATATGTGAGGCCCCAGGGGCATTGCAACAACATTTTATATATATCACATGTATAACATAATATTGTATATCATATATATTAGTTCCTAAAAACAATCCAAAAAATGGGCATAAAATTTTTTCTAATTATATATCTAATAGGAGATCTGTATCTAGAATATATAAAGAACTATTATAATTCAGTAACAAGGCACCCATTTTTTAAAATGAGCAAAGTATCTAAATAGACATTTCTCTAAAGCATATATATACAAATGTTCAATAAGCCCTTGTAAAGATCCTTAACATAATTAGCCATCAGGACACTGCAAATCAAAACCAAAATCAAAACACAGATAATAACAACTATGGGTTAGGCTGCAAAGAAACTGGAAGCTTTATATACTGCTGATGGGAATATAAAAAGGTATATTTTTCCTTTTTATATTCCCACCAGTTCCTCAGGAGTTAAATGTAGAATTACCACAAGATCCAGCAATTCTGCTCCTAGATATATGCCCAAGAAAAATGAAAAATATGTCCCCCAAAAACTTGTACCAGAAAGTTCTGTAGGGGTAGCAACCATAAAATTCCTTTACTTTCTCATCAGAAGGCCCACAGCTGATGTTCCTGGCCCAGAAGACAGGTTAGCAAGAGAAAGGCATGACAAATTTGTTTAATCTAAGTTTTGTGTGATATAGGAGCCTTCAGAAATGAAGACCCAAAGACCCAGGAAAACTGTATCTGAATGCTTAGGATTGTTAAAAAATGGGCAGCCATATAGAAATGTGATTGGATATAATCTGATGGTAACAGACTGCAAAGCCCGTCCACATTCTTCTTGTCCTGTCTGTAATATTCTTTCCTCCTAGGTATGGGCTAGGATCTCTCCAAAATGAGGGTCTTCAAGGATAAGAAAAGGGAGAGAGTATGACCTTTTTATGGCTTGCTTTGAGGGAAAGGAATTTTAATTTTTATGACAATCTTTGGGAATTCTGGTTTCTGTGACTTGTTTGAGGGGAAGGAGGGAGGACAAAATAGGAAGGCAATAGAAGGTGGGGCAGAACTTGCTTCTGAGGCCTTTCTAATGTTCTAAAGTTTAAAGTACTCTGCTTGCCAAATTGCCATACTTTGGGATGTCATGTTCTGAGCCACAACAGTTCATAACGCATATTTCATATTAGCTAAAATATGGAAATGTAACAGGGAATTAGGGCTGCTTTTGCTAACAAGCACTGACTCTTGACTCTTCAGTTGGGCTCAATGGATTTTATTCAGTTAAATGCGGGAAAAATTGACATCTCTGCCTTTACTTATCTTATTTTTTTATTTGTTCTAATTAGTTCTATAATAACAGAATGCCTTTCAATTCATTGTACACAAATGGACTTTTCATTTCTCTAGTTGTATAAGATGTAGATTTGCACCATTTATGCAGTAGTACATGTACCTAGGGTAATGATGACCATCTCATACCACTGAAGCCAGATTTAAAGTTAGGTAGTCAGTGTAGTTAGATAAATCCGGGTCTAATATCGAGTGAAATCTAAAATGGAGGAGACCATGCGGAGAATGACTCAGGGAAAACACAGGACAACTCATGGAAGTCCCGAAAAGGCCCTAGGCCAAAGTCCACCTCAAAGAAATGTTAATGAACAGCCCCCAGCAAAAAGGTGCTGACTCAGAAGTCCTTCCTGACCAGATTACTTCTTTGGCCCACCTGTGTCCCACCCCTCGGTTCTTCCCACCTACATTCCATTACTGAAAGAACTATAAAAAGGGGAGACAACATCCCTTCCACGGATTCCACCTCTTGGGTCCCCTTCTTCCTCCGGGAGAAGTCTTTTCTGCTGTCCTTTAATAAACTTCTAATTTCTACTCTGACCTTGCCTCGGCGTGCTTCTTTGGTGTTATTCTTCAACATTGGGGAAGCAAGAACTCGTCACCAGTCAACAGCGGTATCACCACCATCTTTTCTACCCCCCATGCCCTCTCCTCTCCCCTTCCTCCCTTTTGCCCAATCCGAATTTCCTCCATTCTTCCCATGCTCCCCCACTATACATCTGCCTTTATATTGTATCTTTCTCCTTTATTACCTTAAGCTTTGGGCCAGATTCCTGCTCTCCTCTGTGTGTAGATAAGTTAATCACTTATGGAGTTATCTGTCAAAAAAACAAAACAAAACAAAAAAATGGTAATACAAGGTTTATTTGCCCTAAATTTACCTTATCTACCTTATTCTCCTTCAAGATGAGGATACCAAGATAAGAGTAGTTAAGGTATTTTCAAGACTTGTTGAGACAACTCCAGCTTTTACAATATCCTGTTCCAGACCCCCTGGTTCAGTGCTCTGAAGTCTCTAGTCATTGATCTAAACTTGCAGTTATCTTGGATTCCAGGAACAGCAGGACCTCTCAGGCAGATCACTGCTTGATGAGCTCATACCCCCAAGTGAGAACAATTACCCCATGATAGGAACTGAGGCTGTCCCCCAAGTGGGAACAATCATCTCAGTATGGGAACAGGATTGCCCCCTCAAGCAATAAGACTTCTCTGGAGCCACTTCCCAGGACCGGAACTGAGATAATAACCAGACCCTAGTTTGACCAAGACTACTTAATTATGCATACCTCTTGCTCCTGCCCCAATTACTTCCTGTGTGTAACCCTGAAGCTCATGTCAGAACCCTCAATGACAAAGCCGAGATGTTTGATTTGACTCTTCTTCCCAGTATGACCTATTGATTATAAAGTTCCTTTCCTGCTTTTCACAATTATTTACATCTGTTTTGTGGGGTGAGTGGCAGGACTTGATTTGTTTGAACTCCCAGAGTCAGGCCTCTGGCCTAGGACTCCAGTAACAGAAAGAGCCCAAATGCCCATCAACTAATAAATTAATAAGTGAAATGTGCTGCTATATCCATAAAACAGAATATTACTTGCAAAATAATACAGTTGAATATCCACTACCTGAAATGCTTAGGACTAGAAGTATTTCAGAGTTTAGAGTTTTTCAGGTTTTGAAATATTTGCATAGATTTTCCAGGTTGAGCATCCCTAATCTGAAAATCCCAAATCTGAAATGTTCCAAAATCCAAAACTCTTTGAGCATCATCTCAGTTCTAAAATTTCTAAAAGTCATTGAGTCAAATAGTTTAAATGAATGAACTGAATGGTATATTAATTATATCTCAATAAAGCTGTCAAAAATACATCAGTGCTAAGAGACACTATTTGTTCATTTTTATATACAGCTTGACCTGTTCATACACAGGTGTTTATTAAAATTCATAACTTGAATTTTCAGCATGAGTCAGTTACTGCATTGGAATGCAAGTCGTTCATTCTGAAGAAGTGTGATTAAGAAGTCTAAAGAGAAATGACACTACATTGGGAGTATTTTTAGCATTTTCCAGATTGCAGTAGGACACATTTCCACATTTTTTGTCAGGTATATTAGTTTAGAAATAAGCCCCCATTTTCCTTGTCTAGTGCATGGCTGCTCATGTTGCCCAAGTGGAAGCTGAAGAGGGACTTCTCTTTAAGGAATTCTGGTCTGGAAGGTTTTTCCCAAGGGATTTGTCAGAATGCTAAGGAGAAGATAGGTTTGCCCATTAGCCCTTGAATAGTATTAAGTCATACAGATTTGAATAGGTTTGTGTGGGTGAAGGAAGTGAGATTTTCTCCCAGTTGGTTTTGTTTCATTCAGAATTCATCAACTCACTTGGATTTGACAGTATATCCTAGGCAGATCTTCATATAAGGTTCTTACAGACATATGCTTCTGGTATATTTTCCTGTCCCATTCAGTTTCCTGCAAATACCGTCTGTGTTCCATTTAGTCTGGTGCTATATATTAGTCCCCTGAGAGTGTCTGAAATGGAAAAAGATTCTTTATAATCTTGGACAACTTTCTATTCCTGCCCAGTCAGGTTCTCAGGGTGGCTTTAGTCTGTTTCTTGAGATTATGAATTCATAACCAGATCATCCCTCAAATTCATCTTCAAGTGTAAATACCAAAAGCATATCATAAAACCAAACATAAGTGCATTTTAAATTGGCTGCCATTCTAGAAGATTCACATCACGGCTTCCCTCATCATCAGAAATAGTTTTTGTGCACTTGTCAAAGGGACTGGAAGCTCTGACTCAACTGGATGTTTCAGAAATAAATGACACTTATTTTTAAGTTTCTCAGGGAGGGCTGGGGATGTAGCTGAGTGTAAGGCCCTGGGTTCCATCCCCAGTACCACATACACATGCACACCAAGAACATACTTTTGAAGTGTAGGGGAAGAAAACAGTCGTGTCCTCTACCCTTCTGAGTTCTTGGCTGGAACTCCCTATAACAGAGGGAGGATTAACAAAAGGAAAACAAACAGGTTTATTAACGTATATGTCATGTATATATGGTAGAAAACCATGGATAAATGAGTAACTCAGAGAAGGGGTCTCCATGTTTATAGAGCTTTTTCCACTAAAAAAAAGAAGAGTGTAGGGGAGCTAGGAAAAGTAAGCAAGAGGAAGATTTGTCATGCAGATTTAAGTAGGCTGCCTTCTGCATTGATTAGTTTCTTGTATTTTATTATTTTTTCTCTTCTGGCACCCCAGGAGAAAACTCACCTTTACAAATGGTGGCCTCTTTTGTAGACATTTATTTCCCATATAAATTGGTATTCTCTACACTGTTTTCAGAGGTTCTTCTATATCTGCAATTCCTCAAAATAATCAGTTTGAAACAGTCCTTGTGTCATTGAGGCATATTTTGGGGTAGCATATTCTAGTCTCCTGCAGAAGCAAAAGGTAGGTGCCTCTCTCTTCATCTGCTCCTGAGTGAATGGTGCCAGGAACCCAACACCAAAACTGCCATTAGTTTGGCTAAAATGGATTAGATTACTGGAGGAATTGATGTGGTGCCAGCATGTCACAGGGGATTGGCTGTCTCTCTTTCTGCTTGTCCTAAGCCTGTCAATCCTGAAGAACCTCTGAATCCAGTTACAAACACTGTGCCATCCAAAACCCCAACGGGGGGCAAAAACAAAAACAAACCACCAATGAACAACTCCAGCTGATAGGATTTGCGGCCATTTGCGGACAGCTCAAGTTCATAGTTGTCTTGTAATAGAGGTGTCTTTACAATTGGGAGATTTCAGGAAAGACCCAGTCTAACCTGCTCTCTTTCAGTTGCTTTTTCCTCCCCAGCTTCATCTCATGCTGGGAGCAGAAACTGCCCCCCAAGCTCTGGTGCAAGTTGGACCTGCAGAACCAGAACTGCAGCGTGTGTACATTGTGCTTCTCAGCTCCTGGCACCCCACAGCCTGGCCAGAGCTGCAGTCATTGCTCCCTGCTTTTGCTTTTGCCCTTTCCCTATATAATCATAGAGCTGTTGTCTGAATGGGGAAGAGAGTTTTCTAGAATACTCTGGCCAAACTGAGAATAAATTCCTTACTTGCTTCACCAATATCTTTCTCTCTCTGTCAATTAAACTCTAGGCATTGGGTGACCAGGGCTAGTCTGTTAAGACCCCTGGGTCAGGGTTTTGGCTGAGGACTCCAGTAACAGTCTCATCTGTATTTTTTTTTTTTTTTCCTCTCTCTCTCATGTCCTACATCCTTTCCAGGCCAAAGTAGAAGAAAAGATCCAAGAGGTCTTCAGTTCATACAAGTTCAACCACCTTGTACCAAGGTAAGCTGTGGGTAGGAATTTGAGGGTCTGGGAGAGCACCACCGTGTGGGAGCCCTTTGTGTTTCCTCCTCATCTGCTACTAGGCTAGTATTTCTTGACCTCATGGCTACCTGGGTGTGCTTGTGACCCAACTCCTGCCTCTTTCTAGGATGCTAAGGAGATGCTGCACTTGGACTGAGCCACCAGGTGTTAGGTAGGGATGCCCCCAAAGCCTGACCTCTGAGTTCTGAAGATGGGCAGTGGAGTTCAGGTTTTTGATAGTTGTGGCCTGTAGCTTTGCTTAGTTGAGGACTGTCAAGTTTCTCCTTTTCCTATTGTACTTTGAAGCAGATACAGAGTTTGTGGGTGGCACAGAATAGATTCCTCTGGTGTAAATTATTATTATTTCTTAAATATTTATTTTTTAGTCTTAGGTGGACACAATATCTTTATTTTATTTTTATGTGGTGCTGAGAATTGAATCCAGTGTCTCATGCATGTCAGGTGAGCACTCTACCACTGAGCCACAACCCCAGCTCCTGATGTAAATTATTATTATCGTACTATTTTGCAGTGCTGGGGATTGAACCCAGGGCCTTACACATGCCAGGCAAATGCTCTACACTGAGCTATATCCCCAGCTCTACTCTAACTTCTTATTATTTTGAGAAGTTTGAGCTTCTGGCCCCAGTGCAGCAGATGCCAAGGATGAAGTTCAAACTAGAAATACAATGCTTTTTGTTTTTCTTGGAGCTTAGCAGTTGAAGTCTTCTATGCCTTGTGGAGTCAGAAATTCCAAAAGGGAATTAGAAGAATTTTAAAAATTTGAACCTTTATTTTCTCTTTTTTCCCAGTATTTTGTAATGTCTCACACTAGAATTACATGAAGTTATTTCATCTCTTTATTACTATTTCTCTTTCAGCCACAAATTGTTTCCTGGATTATATTTCCATCCAGCAGAAGTGATCACAAGTCTGAAACTGTGTGTGGTCATCATTTTCTCTTAGTGATAGAACATTTTGACATTCTCCAGACACTGGGGCGAGGTGCTGGCTGGTTCACTGTGGTGGCGGAGCTGCAGGGTCTGAAGTTCAGCCTCACCTCCATTATCATGTCTCCTGACTTCTTGACACCTTCTAACTGACTGCATCTCTTCTTACTGGAACATTAATCATGACTCCAGCCTTGTTACCATTGTGTCTTTTTTGCCACTATTTCTTTAATTTTTTTTCCTTATTAGCCACTACAGTAAACAGCTGGAAAAGACAGGTGCTTATTGGGAAAAACAGGTGGGAAGGTTCACTTTATCTTCCTTCCCTGGGGAAGGCAGAGGAAAACATTAGCTAACTAGAGGAGTCTTTCCCCAGACAGAGTCTTTCCCCAGATCTCTGCATTAACCCAAAGCTCAGTAAAATGAATTATTCCTCTTGTCATTAACCACAGCTGGAGGTTAGCATATAACACCATTTATTTTAGCAGCTTGAGAGAGTAAGCTGTGGGATATGCTGGCTCCTCAGTACTCATCTGCCCCTGTGCACAGCCCTGTTCTGGCTTAGCCTCCTCAGCAGTGGTGGGACTTGGTGATGGTGAGGGGCACAATTTTGCTCTAGGGCCTTTGTGGTCAGCAGTTGTGCCCCCAGATGACTCACCTGATTGGGCTCTGAGTCATTGTCTCCTGTCTGGGCCTCTGTGTTTTCCATGAGGGACCTTTGACTATCTGACATTCCTTTTTCTGCTCACCCACAGAAGAGGGCCTTGGACTCTGTCATCTTACTAAGGAATCAGGGAGGTTGAACAGCAGTGATCTGGGAGGAAGCAGATGTTATTTTGGGAGTGATGTTATTTTGGGAGTGATGGAGGACAGTAAAGGAGAAAAATCCCCTGATTCATAGATTTTGGGTCAAGTGTAGCTAGAAAACAAAAATGTTCCTTTTGGGGCTTGAATTCTTGTGGAAGTAGAAGATATTAGAGCTCTGAATTTGTTTCGGAAATATGACAATTTCTCAATATATCATAGTTGCCTATGAATATGAGTGTTTTATAGGATGCTAATTAGCATGCTAATTAACATTCGAGATACATATATTGGCTAAATATCAGCATATCAACATAAGGCTGAATCCAGATATCACCATCATTGAGTGAACCATTAAGATATAAGAATACATATATAACTAATTAAAACAAAAAAATTAGACACTAGTATGGCAATTTGTAAATCAATGGATGTGTAACTGACGTGATTCTGCAATCTGTGTATGGGGTGAAGGTAGGAGTTCATAACCCACTTGAATCAAAGTGTGGAATATGATATGTCAAGAAATTTGTAATGTTTTGAACAACCCACAATAAAAAATTAAAAAAAACAAAACAAAACAAAAAAAAATTAAACCAATTTCAAAAAAAAATGAAAAGATATAATGCAGCTTGGTTGTAGAGTGCTTGTGTGGAGTGCTTGAGGTCTAGGGCTCAATCCCCAGCACCTCACTTTTTACATTAAAAAGATGTAAGAATAGGGCTGGGGATGTGGCTCAAGCGGTAGTGCGCTTGCCTGGCATGCGTGCGGCCAGGGTTCGATCCTCAGCACCACATACAAACAAAGATGTTGTGTCCGCCGAAAACTAAAAAAAAAAAAAAAAAATTAAAATTGTCTCTCTCTCTCTCTTTAAAAAAAAAAAAAAAAGATGTAAGAATAAATCTAGGGCTGGAGGTGTAGTTCACTAGTAGAGCTCAATTTTAATATTTGACATGTTAGTCATCAAGATTTAAAAGCCTGACAGTATAATGCGGGAATAAACCTTCACTGTTAGGTAAACTGCATGTTCACATTTTACAGTAAATCCAGATGATGTGGCTTGTTTGTTTCTGAGGTCATGATGCTGATCAGATGTGACAGAATCACGCACATTGCCAGGACTGGTCACATGCAGGTACAGGATGCACACAATGGTGTTGAAGCAGGCATTTGCCTATCCAGTCTTCCGGAAGCAAGCTGAATAGCAGATTTGGCTGAAATTCAAGGCTGGAGTGGAATGTTGGTGCATTCCACAATCAGTCCCAAAATGGTTTTCCTCTCTCTGTGGTTGGGAGATGTGCATTCTATCCTGGAGTAACATAATCAGTCTCAAGGATTTTATTTATTTATTTTGTGGTGCTGGGGATAGAACCAGTGACCCTGTATCTGCTAGCCGAGTGCTGTACCGCTGAGCCGTATCCCAGTCCCAAGGACCTTTTGATCATATTTCTAATAATTTTGTTTGTCAGCATCCTGCTCTCTTTTGTTTTCTCTGTATTTTCCTTCTGTACACTAGTGAACTTACCTTTTTCCATTTATTTAATTAACTTTCAATTTATTTAATTAACTTTCTATTTATTTAATTAACTTTCTGAAATACATAAACTGGGGACACACACACACACACACACACACACATATAATTTTAAAAATTACTTTTTCTTGGACACAAGTGGCCTGGTGCTCCTCAGAAGTGAGAAAAACCAACAATGTCCCTGTGCAGACAGGGCCTTGAAAGTTAAGTGTTGCAGTGGCTTTGAAGCCAGTGGCTCTGAGTGAAAGCTCTCCAAGCCCTTCTCACACAGGTGCCTGCCTGACCTTCACGTCTTGTCCCACTCCTGCATGTGCTATTTTAGAACTTCCCAAATCCCAGGCAGTTAGTAGATGTAGTCCTTGTTTCTTGCAAGGA